TTGCAGTGCACACACCCTTTGTTCATTGTGGGATGTTTATACTCTGTTATGTTTAACAGATGTTATGATTTATTTTAGATGCATGACTTATAACTTTTATATGTCAAAAGATAATTATGGTTATATTACTGATTTAAAACGAAATTTTCAGACTGTATTTTTGGGATGTTTCGAGTTGGTATCAGAGCCTTGGTTTGAGGGATTCGGGCACACTTACGAGTGTGTCTGAACTCAAACTAACGAAGTGGTATAAATTTTTTCAAAAGAAAAGAGTTTTAGAAAAGCAAAAAGTTTTTTTTTTAAAGTAAAGAACTTTGAAAAGAGAAAAATGGTGTGGTACATGCAATCAGCCGAGCTCAAGTACGTACTCCCAAATTACCCATACAAGTTTATGTGATGTTATGTTATGAATATGAGAAGTGCATGCTAGAGTAGAGCTAAGGATCTAGGAAGAGATGCCTTATATGCCTATGGTATGTGCTTGTAGACTTGCACGCTAGTACGGACCAGTCAGTAATAGGATAGCATGTCTAGGTTATGCCTTATTGTATGAGCCTTTGAATTGCATGTACAGATTCCTAAGTATGGGATAGAACAGTATGATTGGATTATGTGCTTAGACTTTCCCTTTTTCTCAATGCTACTTGCTTTGTGCTTTGTGGGACTCTGACTGATGGGAGTTAGCCATTAGGTGAATACGTCAAGTCACATGTGATTAGGTTTGAATAATCTTAGAGTGCTGGATTTGGCCCTAGGGCAAGCCTAGGATGAGAGTAGTCCGGAGAGCAATAGTAGTAGTGAAAGGGACTTGGCAGAGTCGAGGCAATTCTCGAGGAAAGTACGGATAAATGTGGAAGGTAGTATGGGCCCGTACTACTGAAAGCAGAGGATCTGTACTCGATTCGAGAAGGGCTAAGATAAAACTGGGGAACTTGTAGTGAGTGTGTGATCCATCAATAGTGATGAGTATTTTGTTGATAGTTATGTGATGACTCATGCAGTATGGTGATGCTACAGGGTAGGCCAATGAGGAGTCAGGCTCGGGTTCAGGAGCCGAGCAGCTTGGGGAGCAGATGAGAGAGTTAGCATCAGCAGAGATTACACACAGTATCCTAGACCAGACTCCATGAATAGCTAAAGAAAGCCCTAAACTTCACATATGAAAGATTCTAGAAGAAAAGAGGTCAAGGTAACAGCTTGTTACCTCCAAAACGTGCCCAAACTGAAGTAGACTCTAGATCCACACGAAAACCTTGATGTTAGCCTCTTGATCTACAAGTTTCCTTCACAAAAATCCCTTTCTAAAGCTTCAAAACACTCTCCAAGCTCACACTCACAGAAATTAGGATTTCTAACTCTCAAGGGGTGATAGAGGACAGATGGAGGTGCTAATGGTCCAATATATACGATGCAAAAACCCTAAAATTCAGGGTTTACTCTGCCAGCTCCTACTCGTCGAGTCCCCCATGCCGACTCGTCGAGTCACTCATTAAATGACGTGTCCCGACCCGCTGCTACTCGACGAGTCACAGCGTCAACTCATCGAGTAAGCCTTAAAACATGAAATCTAATGGAATAATAATGATACCTGACGGTTGGGATGTTACAATCTCATTTCATAATGTATATACAAATCATAAAACAAAACAATACTTCTTCTATTCAGCATCACTTTGAATTGAAACTTGCTCAGATGACAAAACACTCTGGATGTATAGTTGCTCGAACAGAAATTAGCTTGGATCATCACTTTGCTTGTAGCCTAAGGATCATTTTTCTTGAACCATCAATCCTTCAAGGGATGGACCAAACATGTTAATTTCATTTCATTTATGGTGGTTAGTATCATCCCCTTATCCCACACCATCAAATAAAATGAATTCCACTAAATAAATAAAAAACTAGTAGTCAGAGTTGGGTATGTAGGTGTTTTAAATATGCTCCATGAGATATGATCATAAGTTGTTGTGGGTTTTTGGGCAATACAAATTATGTAGAGTATATTCATTTACTTCTACACCTTCTTCATTGTTTTTGTGGAAAAGGCATATCCTAAGACATTTGTCTTTTAAAATATTATCATGTAATATAATACAAGGGTGCATTGTATTTTTAATTTTTCTAGGAAGCATTATTTGTGCTAGCTGAACTATAGCCAATTAGTTTTTAGGATACCAAAATCTCGTTCCACATCCTTCTTATCCTTGTTGCCTTGAACCTTTTTTCTTATCACCGTTTTGATAGGTAAATGTTTTCACAAAATTTGCTCAATTGGGGTATATCTCATAGGCTAGATAATACTAATTCTTGCATATTGGTTTAAAAAGCGTGGTGTGCTCTGTTGCGATTATGTCTTAGAGACCGATGTGCATTGCGAGATGCGATTGCGAGCGAATTACGTTGGTATGCCGTACAAGTAGTAATTACTATATACATACATATACATATATATATATATATATGTGTGTGTGTGTGTGAGAGAGAGAGAGAGTGTGTGTGTGTGTGCGCTAAATTTAAGTAGACATCAAAATTCATGTTTACCGATAACTAACTAAAACACCATAAACATTAAACATATAAATGAAACCAAAATCTAATATTCCTTCCATATGCAAAGTGAATAAACTTGACATTAATTAGTCAAAACTCAAACCAATAACTAACTAAAACACCATAAATATTAAGAGAAGAAGAAAATGTTAAGCATGTTAGTGTTACATGTGGGATCAACAAATAGGAAGGTGGATCAAGAAAGAGGAGGGAAGATGAAGAGCCTACTTATCGATAATGACAAAGAGAAGAAAAAGATTTCCGTGTGATCGTGGTGTTGTGTCGGTTAGTTTTCTTATACGCAAGTCTCTAGGGTAGAAGTAGGGCCGACCAATAATTAAACAAATTTATTTCCATGGGCTTTATTATATTATAAGTATTTTCTATGTAAAATGGGCCACACACAGGATGTACCAAAGCCCAATATGTGCTTAGATGTGCACGCATCACCTCACATCATGTAGATCACTTCTCCCTAAACCTCTATTGCGCTTAGGCCATCGCAAAGCAATGCAAACTCGCAATGGTTGCAACAAGAGCACTTTTTTAAACCAAGTCTTGTATTGTACATCATTAACCATAAATGGACATTTTGGTGACCGTCCATGTAATTCATCATTGAACAATAGTGATTGGTCGGGTTACTCTTGATCGCCTCTCATGTGATTATCTCACCATGTTGTTGGGCAATTCCACCAAGTTCATTGTTTGCCATCAATGTTGCCAACATTCAAAGAAATCCGTGTTTAGGTTCATGTGTTAAGTACAAAAGTTGGATGTCATTGACAATCAATCTATGCAAATATTATTTTTAGTTAAAAGTGCATATGTGCACTTTTGTAATGGATTGAAACCATTTTCCCCACTCATCGTAGGGTAGTCTAAAAAATGCAAATTCTCATTCGATGTCATTAACTATTTGTATTAATAGTTCTCTTTGCAACCAAAATATTCTTCTGAAAATGTCAGCATTGCATATGAGATCCTCAGCAAATTAATCATGCAGAAGATGTTATGTGCAACTTCATGATCTTTGTCTACCCAAGTTATTATAATTATTGGTACGTTTGAACTTAAGGTATCATGAAAAAAGAAGTTATGTAGTTTGGGTAATTGTTGACAAAACATAAGTATTATGTGCATATCTATTATCAAATGAAGACTCGTCGTTTGATCTTGAAGATGAAAGTACACACATGTATTCTCTAATGAATCTATTCAGACTTATAAAATGTTCTATAGGGTTGAAATTAATAGATAATTGATAAAAGTTTCTTATAAAAACAAGAAGATTGGACATCTATTTATATTTTTTTTATAATTTCTTTAAATTAAAAAGAAAAGTAGGCATTGTAAAACTAGTTCTTCCTAACGTTTCGTTTCTCTTGATATGCTCTCCCTAATTTGGGCTTCTTTAATGTACTGGTATGTTGGTGATTTTAGTGTTATCAACATATTTTGGTGTAATTATTATTAATAATGAGATAGGTTGAGCTTCATCTACTAACCGAACTTGGAGATGTGAGGGTGCACACATGGTGTGATAATTATGAACTCGAGAATACGGGGGGTTTGGGGGCAACGCTCCTAGGTGAAGAGTTCCAAGGGGCTGCACCCCTTGGTGGGGTCTAGGGGCAACACCCTGAAACCTAAACAAATTTTACACGGCTCCATGCAATTTCCCGTCAAAACTCTTATGATGACATCTTGATGATGTAAGTGTTAGCTATGTCTACTAACGATAGTTTTTGGCGCCAAATCTGGAGGCAACCGACATAACTTATTTTCCCTCTAGTATAAGAACCTTTCTTTGGTCTAAAAAAGGGTTGGAACTCATATACATGAAAAGTATGTTTTTTTTCTCTCTATCTCTATAGAGCACAGAACAGCAATGTATATTTCTGTGTTTTGATTTTGAAAGTGGCCTGATTTTCAAAATTACATTTCTTAGATTATCCTAAATTGGATTTCGTGACATCCCAGACATAAGGGTCGAAATCATAGATTTTGGAAAATGATTGCAATCACAGTCATAGAAATTATCCAAGTTAATTGATATTCTAAGACCCCAATAATCTTACATGGTAAAGACATGGTGGGTCGGTCTTCCAACATGCATGTGTTATACTCCTTCACATGCCCCGTCTAGACTCCTTCATAAAGCCATACCCACCATCTTTAGACTTTAGGGTCCAAACTTGCAACAATCACCAACTTTTGACTAATGTGTTATACTAAACAAACCTCCGGATCCAGCATGAAATTTACTCTATAAATGATTTGATTTAATATGATATTTTTTATGATCAACTATTCTTATGATAGACTTGTTGCCTTCTGGTAATTTTGGTGATTAGCTTTAAAAAGAAATGATTCAAGATCCTCATTGGTCATCATCTTATAAATACATAAGAGAAAACAATTCATAAATGAAAGATAAACATTTGGTACATAATCAATCACCTTGCGAACAGGCAAACTAAAAAAATGAGCTTAGGTAATAGAGTTTGTGTTAAAATATCATAATTGCATCAGCGTTACATTGTGGGATCTAAAGCCAACAATATATGTCTTATCATATTTCAACAATTTATCAAATGGTCTCAGTGATGAGAATACAAGTTTACAATCCGAATTCCAAAATTCATCCCAACTCCAAGATGAGTTCAAATTCCGAAATACATTACAAGATGAGTGTTGAGTGTGAATGGGATCCTGATAGCAAATGAGATATTGAGTGTGCAAGAGATCCAAGTTGTGACTGGATGCGAACCAATGCGAATGATCGCAATGACTCACAGTCAATAAACGAATGCGAACAACGAAGTATAACGTTGCAAACAACTTGTGGATGCGAAAGCTATTTGGGTGCGAATTACATGGATGCGAATTGCTTTTTGGTCCCGGACAACTTACTGATTTCGAAGTACTTGCTGTTAGGTGCGAGGTTCTAAGTCGAAACAAACAGAAACTTGAAACATGAAACAATAAGTTTTGTTTAAATCCGTTGATTGGGATGGCATTTTATCCCCTATAAAATTTATAGGTTGTGTAGGTTAACATTTGAATCCATAATAATAATACTAATAATATCCGTGATTAGATTCAGATATTAAAATCCAGCAGGTAAAAGAAAGAAAACATTTAGTCGGTGGGTCCCCCCCAAGCATCATCTTTGAGATTCTGTCTGGAAAGTATGCGTTGCTTTCGGGCTGCTTCTTGTTCCTTGAGTTGTTTTTGGGTGAAACTTGTGGAAGGCAACTTGAGTCCCATTCCATGAGCAATTAACCTTTGGGCAGTTCTTGCTGATGTTTTTGGCCTTTGTCGAGGTGGCTCCAAATCTGTCAACATTTTTATAACCAAAACTGGCTCTCTTCAGAAACAAACATGTAAAACTGCTGCTTCGTTTTGTGGGTGGAATGGACCAATCTTTAAGGAATTTCATTTTTTCCATTTTCTCATTTTTCATGCCTTAAACAGTAGTATTTTCTAAATTAACTAAAAAAAAGAGTAAATTACTGAAATCGGCACTATGGTTTGGTCAAAATTGCACGTTTGGTCCCTAACTTTTTTTTTGCACTCGGATCATCCCAGTGGTTTGATTTTGTTGCGTCCATTTGGACGAAAAACGCAACAAAATCAAACCGCAGGGACGATCCGAGTGCAAAAAAAAAAAAGTTAGGGACCAAACGTGCAATTTTGACCAAACCATAAGGGCGATTTCAGTAATTTACTCTAAAAAAAATTATTTGTTTTGATCCCTGAGCATAGCTCATTTTTGCCCAAAAAGTTCTCTTCTTTTGACTTTTTGGTTTGGTCACTATTCAAAGTAAATTGCAACTTCCATCCCAGAGCAATTGTCTTTTTTACTTTGAAACGGGCCAAAAAACTTCAAAAAACAATCAAAATTGCAAGAGAACTACTTAGGACGAAAATTGGAAAAATCAAAGCATTGCTCAGGTACCAAAATTGTAATTTATAATCATACTTGGGTTTTAATAAAGTTTTAATTTATCAGTTTTGCAAATGCTAAAGACTATACCTCATTACCTCTTAAATAAAATATAATACAGAAGATTCATTCCATTCAATTCCAAACAAACAAACAGACCCTTTAGTCTTCATTGAAAAACTATGTTGGTTAATGTATGCACCTTAATCTCCTCACCCATGACCCATCGAAAAAACAAAAGCAAAATATTGTGGGTAAGAATTCAGAATTTTATAATTACCTTTTTCTGGAATGGAGCTTAGGAGTACATCATTCTCATCAAGTACACGAACTGTGAATGAACACTTAATCAACTTACATGCCTCAACAGCTGCAAAACCCAACATCACAATATCCTTAAATAACAACCACCATCCAACTTCCAAATTCCAAATTCAATTATGCTGCTCGCTCTAACCATATATACCATTCATCATGTAAAAGATGTGCAATGAATTAATCTGATAAGCTACATAAGTTTTTTTTTAACTTAATGAACAAAGATGTACTTAATAAAATAAGTCGAGGGAAAGCAGACTTTCCCCCATTGAGTCCTAAAATTTTCCCTTATTTATTTTTTTTCCTTCCATTCTATTTCCTCAAATCGATGCATAATGTAGCAAGCTTTTTTATGGCCGAATCTTCTAGACTTAATATAGAAATAACAACTTAATAGAGAAAGTCGGGGAATGGCTTGGTTGTACCAAAATCCCTTGTTTTCCAGAATTTTTCTAAGAAAAATGAAAATTCTGAAAACGTGTTTGGTTTATTATTTTTTCTAAAAATGTTCCACGTAAAGAGATATTTCCAATTTTCTAAATTACAATTTACAAGTAACTTGGAAAACTAACAATTATTGTTTTCCACACTTTCCCAATTCCAAAAGTTTTCTATAATATGATAAATATTGTACTATACTATTTAAAATAACAAAAAAAATAATGGAAAATGAAAACCAATAAAAAAATACTCATGCAAACATGTTTTCTAATTTATCTAAAATGGAAAATGAAAACTCAATCAAATGCGTTTTCTAAAAATTTTCTACTGAAAACTCCACTCTTTTTTGTGAAAACAGATTTCCGCAACCAAACACACCCTAAACTTTCCCCATAGAGTCTTAACCTATTACAAATTCTCCCTCATTTCTACCAATCGTTTCATCATTTTTCTCAAAATACTGTTAGAGAAATCATTTATCCAAACAACACTTAAGATAAAAGGAAAAAGAAATATATATATATATATATATATTAAAACATTAATTAAGCATACCAATTGCTGGTGTTCTGAAGACAGCAAATGCAGTGGTATCATTAACCCAACGTATCACAAAATCATGAGAAACAAATTTGTCCAACAAATTCTCTAGCCCACTTGTACTCATATTTGCTTGGAAGCCTTCAAGAACAAGAGCATGTCGAGTACCATATTTTACTGAAATCATTAAAAAAAATGAAAAATAAGCTTGTTATGCATTATAACACTTTTTTTTTTAACTCACCTTAATGACTACTATATTTCCATCTCTTGATCAAACGTGGACACATGAATCAATGTTAAAACTGCATCGTTTCTTTTTTGGGTTAAATGCAAGAAACAGTAGCATACTTTCTGATCTATTTTAATTTGTGTATTATTCATTTTAGCATCCTAATTTCATTTAATTCAATTACAGCAGAGCAGCCCAAGGTTGAAAACTCCTTTTTGAAGTGTTTCATAATACTTGTGAAAAAATCTACCTAATCATATTCATAGCAGTTATTTTCTTTGAAAAATGTAGGGAATACTTTGTATTTGGATGAGATTGGTAGAGTTTTTTAAAGTACAATGAATGCTGTAATAGGAAGAAATGAAAACAGAATGCTATAGATATAATAACCAAATCAATAAAAGTAAAGCTTTTTGTTTTTGGTAAAAGTTTGATCAATTAAAATTCCTTTACTGAGAGAGGTAATTGATTAAGCAAAGCAATAAGGAAGTTACAGTCTCTTGTGGGTTGATGTCCTTGAGAAGTAGGCAATGTAAATGTAGTTTGATTTAGTGAATCATCATCTTGTATAGAAGAAGAAGATTGTTGTTGATCACTGTACAAATACAAGCCATGTTTTTCATATGAAAATGTGCCCCTCCCACGCCTTGCAGTAGGGAGGGGAGCTTCATCTTTTTTATCTTCAAGTCTCAGTTTTGATAAATTTACTTCTGCAGACAGCAACTCATCTGGAGCACGATCTGCAACAGCTTCCCAGTCTGCAAAATTCCATTCCCACAGTATAATATAATATAATACATACATCAATTCATAGCATAAAAACCAAGATAGAATCAACTTTAAAACCATCTCATGGCAATATTAACAAACATACTTGTTCTCATGTAAGCTTATGATACTACTACTAAACAACGACAAATGTTTGGTAGGATGGAATCATAATGGTTCATTCCGTTCCGTTGTTAGTTTTGTGTCAAGGAAGGAATGGAATGAACCGTTTTCTAAAGGAATGTAATTACTTTCGTTTTGTTTATTATCCATCACCTAGTTATTCCATCATGGAATGGAATGAAACACTGCATCATAGTGATAACTCATTTTTATTATATGTAAACTATAATAGACTAGAGCTGAACGTAATTAGTGTATTTACTTATAACGTAAAAAAACTCATTCCATTCCTACAAGCCAACCAAACATGATCATGGTATTAATTTCATATTTCCTTTCCCTATCACTGACAAATAAACCAAAAAGGTACAAGAAGCTAATTGTGTTTGCTATCATGTTGGAATCTACAGCTCTTTTAAATAAATAAATAAATAAATAAATAAATAAATATATATATAGATAAGTCTCTTGATTTATATGATTTTGCATGTCTTAAGCTACAGAGTAGCTTAATCTTCACTCCTGCTTTGGCCAGAATCATAGCACTAAGAAACCATGACTCTAGAATGTACAAAAACTCAATGTTCATAAGCTGACATGTAAATAATTAAGTGACCAAGTTCATACCATCTTCTGAATTGTCATTACATGAAGAAGCCTCATTATTTGAATGGTAGTCTTCTTTTGCCTCCATATTCATTGATTCACTGAAAAAGAGCCAGCATCAACATCAATGATCAAAAAACAGTGAAGCATTCTAACGCCAATGGGATTACAGGAAAAAAGTTTCACATATGTGTGCCCATGGATTATTTTATCAAGAAAGTAACAAAAACTGGAAAGGGTGAATATTTATAATGAAATTGTTAGATAATCACAATTATTAGATAACTAGCTTTGGTAATTAATTATTATACAGTTAAAGATACTCCTGATAGATGATTATTAGATGGTTATTTTAGCTATATGCCTATATCTTTATCCTTACATTTTTTAGTATAAATACATGTACAAGCTGCCATTATTAAATGACAGAATGCACAATATTTCTACACCTCACAGAAATGTTAGTTGTTAATAGGGATATTGACACAAAGCCCTAAAGTTTGTCAATTATTGACTGTTTTACCCTAAGTCCAGTTTTATGTGCATTAATGCCCGAAGTTTGCAAAGTTATTTCATTTATGCCAACTTGAATGTAAAACTAGTTACCATCCCATAATCCACATGGCAAGCCAACATGGCGTTAACGGGGAGTTTTGGGCTGACATGGCAATCCTGCGGTCCTTCCATTGTTGTTCACAGTTTAAGTCCCCAATTCTTACATTGCTATTCTAATCTCAACCTTTGATTCAGCACAGGCACATATAGAGCACACACACACACTACACAAATACAACAAACACTATACTAATCTTGCTCATTAAGGGGGTTTACCTATCCGCTATTGAATTCAACTGAATTGGCGTCTGAACTTGGGACCAAGGTTAGGGATCGTTCGTTTACTCTGAACTCGCCACCAAAATCTCGTAGATTTTCTCGTATTTTATAAGCCTGAGGAAAACGACGCCCCTGAAACATTTTGGGGTTTGTTTTTATCAAGAACTCCACGCCACCAAACATTTTGGGGTTTGTTTTCAACCAAACCAAATATAAAATCAAACCTGAGATCGAATAACAGGGGATGGATTGTTCCCGGCAGGTGCGTGTATGATGTGTTTCACCCCACAGGAATTCGAAGAACAGGGGCTGGATAGTTCCCCTTCTTCACTTCGAATCCAAGACTTTTTATGTGTGTCGCTCCCCCTCTTTTGAAATCGATCACATCTGCTGGGATCTTTTGAAGGAGAACAGGGGGTCCCCTCTTTTTCGAAGGTGGCCGGTGGCTGCCTATGGGGGTCGCCGAGAGCTTCGATGGAGGCAGACGCAGTTCAGTTGAAGGAGAGAAAAAAAAGGCGTACAAGGTTCGGCGTGTTTTTCCGCTTGCCATGTTTTATTATTATTATTATTATTATTATTATTATTATTATTATTATTAGACAAAACTGCATAAATGGTCCCTGTAGTTTACACAAAATTGCCACTTTGGTTCAAAAAAGTTTTGGCTAGCACCACAAGTCCAAAGTTTCCATTTTCTTGCATATTTGGTCCAATGGGTTAACTTCCGTTTGTTTCCCTCTGTTAAGTTATGTTTGACTAGTCAAATTAGGGGTATTTTGGTCATTCCCTATTTATGCCCTTTATTTTATATTAATAAAGGAGAGTTCGTATGTATGCATTGCCATACGGATAATATCGAGCCTAATTCACATTTATAGTCCTTAAAAACCGTGAGTCGATACAATTTCCCTCCTCATTGACTGAGGATCAAGAACCCTAAACTGATTAACAAGGTTGATAGCTTCAATCAGGCGAGTTTCGTAGTGAATGCATATACCAATGTGGCACTTAAGGTTGTCAAGCACGTCATTCGACCCAAGGGTGGTTTATGGTACGTAATTTTGTTTTTGATCATTTTGTTGATTTTCTTACAAGAAATCATACCTTCTGAACTTTTTTTTTTTGCTCTTGTGTTGAAGATGGACACCCTACATTGTTTACCATCAAGCTACAGCATGGAGGTGAGTTCACAAAGTTTCCAAATGTCAACTACATTGAGGGTACTGTGACGTATGTAGATATGGTGGATATAGAAGAGTTTTCTATTCACGAGATGGATGCGATTATGAAAGGGTTAGGATACTCAGTTCCTCCAGTTATCTACTATCATTTTCGAGTGCCAAAGGGAGACATGCATTTTGGGCTACGGGCCCTAGGAAATGATGATGATGTCCTCAATCTTTCCCAGTATGTGAAGGAGCATAAACTGATAAGGGTTTACACCGAGCATGGTATTACTAACTTGCTTACTTACTTTATGGCTCCTAAACCTGTAAGAAAAGTTATTATTGAGCAATTAGAGGAGATCGATGAACATCAAACCCCCCAACTAATAACCAACCCAGTGGCATGCCACAAACATGCATACCACCTGTGATAGCAAATGAAGCTGCTTTAGCCTTGTCAATATCCCCTGAATATAATAAGAAAAGGGAATTTATCAAGGACAAACCATTGTCATCATGTATTAAGAAATTGGTGATGGATGATGTTAGTGTTGATAGGATTGGTGGGAATAAGGATGATGCAGATAATGAAATTGACCACGGATTTAATGAATTTGATGAGGAATGTAATGATATTAACCAGGATTTTAATGAATTTCATGAGGCATGTAATGATATTAACCAGGGATTTAATGAATTTGATGAGGCAGCTAATGACTTTGATATTGGATTGTACCAACAGATTTTACAGTCTAATGAACAGAATGTAGATGATGAGGTTCATGAAGGTGAGGAAAATACAGTTAATAAGGAAGTCACTGAAGAAGAGAATCATGACATAAATGAAATGAATGATGAGAATGTAGAGATGAGAGATTTTGCAGTTGATGATGGAAGTGAAGATAACATAGAGATTGATGAAGACAATACTGAAAGAAGTGATGAGAGTGAGGACAGTGATGATAGTGATTTCTGGGTGGATGAAGACAACATCATCCCTGATGTAGAAGTAGACATGAGGGATTTTTACATGAATATAGATCTTGAAGCAGAATTTCTTGAAAAAAGATTACCAAAGCATAGAGAGAATGACAGTGATGAGGTCAATGAAGAGTTGGATGTTATAGATAATGATCAATGGGATTCATTGGATGAGGGTTCTGATATAGATAGGAAAAGAAGAGCTGTAATAAAGGAATTGGGGAAGGAGACTAGGTGCTCTCAAGGTGAGATACACAAGGTAACTTTTAGGATAGGACAAAAATATAAAAATAAGAAGGAGTTAAAGGAAAAGATACAATTGCATGCACTGGAAACAAGAAGGAATATATTCTTTGTGAAAAACGACAAAATGAGGTTAAGGGCAATTTGTAAAGGAACTGTAGCCTTTAATGATGGTCATGTCGGTGAACCTACCCCTTGTCCTTGGGTGATACAAGGTTCTAGGTCGGATGTAAATAGTAATTGGTTCATAAAAACTTACAACGACGAACATAAATGCCTCCAGACAAGAAAAGTTAGATCTGCAACAGCAAAGTTTATCTCTAAGCAGATAATGGACCAGATTGAATCCAACCCAACAATCCCAGTCAGAGCTCTTCAAGAACAACTTCAAAAGGATTATCAAGTTGGATTCTCTATTCACAAGGTATTCAGGGCCAAATCAACTGCAAAAAAACTTGTCCAGGGTGATTACAAAAAGCAATATGATGTTCTTAGAGATTACATCCTGGAGTTGCAGTCTACTAATCCAGAAACCACTGTGAAGTTAGAGTTTGATTCAGAACCCAACCTAAGTGCTACCTCAAGAAGGTTTAAAAGGATGTACGTGTGTTTGGGTGGAATGAAAAAGGGCTTTAGAGCTTGCCTGAGGGATTTTCTAGGTTTTGATGGGGCATTTATGAAGGGCCCTTTCCCAGGACAAATTTTAACTGCAGTTGGGGTAGACTCCAACAATGGAATATACCCCCTAGCTTATTCCATTGTTGAGACTGAGAACACTGACAGTTGGAAGTGGTTTCTAGAGTGTATTGCAGATGATCTGGACCTATATGCAAACTCAAACTTCATATTTATAAGTGACAGACAAAAGGTTTGTAATTTGTTGTTTATATTTGACATATTTGGATGTGCTATATTAACTATGTTTTAATTCCTTTACAGGGATTGCAGACTGCCATTTCTCAGTTGTTCCCATGTGCTGAGCACAGGTTTTGCCTTAGTCATATACATGACAATATGAGAAAAACATGGAGAACTAATGAGTACAAAGAACACTTGTGGAATTGTGCTACAGCAACAACAGTACCAGAGTTCAATCATAGGATGCATCAATTCAGCTCATATGATGTAGAAGCTTATAATTGGTTGAAGCAGATTCCCCCACAACATTGGGCAAGAAGCCACTTCACAGGTATATACTTCAACTTCCAAATTTACCCTTTTGTGTTGGTATATGTTTGATCCTTTTGTATTAGTATATGTTTGATCTTGACAATATTGTGGTGTTTTCAGGCAGAGCAGTTTCAGATATGCTTCTGAATAATCTTTGTGAAGTTTTTAATAGCAAATTGATTGAGGGAAGGGACAAGCCAATGATATCCTGCTTGGAGTACATTAGGGAGTATATGATGAAAAGAATATGCAATGTCATAAAGGTTCAAAAGAAGTGTGTTGGTCCACTAACCCCATCTGCAACAAAGATCATGGAGAAGAATGTGAATTGGGCATCTCAGTACACAGTTAGGTGGAATGGGTCAGATAAATACCAAGTGCAAGGGCCATGGCAGGATCAACATGTTGTTGATATGGTTGAAAGAGTATGCAGTTGTAGGAAGTGGGAATTAACAGGACTCCCTTGTAAGCATGTCATTGCAGTCCTAAATGACAAAGCAGATAATGGTGAGGAAGTTGGAGAACTGCACACTTATGCCCACAGGGTGCACTGGCTAGAAACATGGAAAGCAGCTTATGTGTACAAGGTAGAGCCTATTAAAGGTCGAGCAATGTGGCCTATAAGTGAATGCCCAATTAAATCACCCCTCCTATACACAAAAATCAGCCTGGAAGGCCAAAGAAAAAGAGGAGGCACTCTGCTGAGGAGAAAAGCCAGAAGAAGGGAGACAATGTTGCTAGTGGTAGTGGGAGTCAAAGCAATATTGCTAGTAGGAGTGGAAAGCTTACAAGAAAGTTTATCCAAGTAACCTGCAGCAAGTGTAAAATTAAAGGGCACAATGCTAGAACTTGCAAAGGCCAAGGGGGTAAGTGATTGGATTTCAAGGGATTTTGATGTTTGTAGGGGTATAAGTGTCTTTTTGGGATAATGTTATGTTTATGTGTATTGTATGTTTAGTACTTTCTGTGTTTTGGGGTTTAACCATTTTGGATGTTACTTTTGGTACTTGATAGTGTACCCCTGTGATGTATGGGAACAATTTACACTGGATTTAATGTAATGATGTCTTGATGTTATTGTAATGTATAATTTTTTGTTGTAGAAGTTGACCAGTATACCCTTTTAAACAAAACATACATTTGTCATTGATAATGTGTAAACTACATACAAAATAAATTGACCAATATGCCCTTTTAATCAAAACATACATTTGTCCATATACAAAATAAATAGACCAATATGCCCTTTTAAACAAAACCACTAGACAAAACTGCACACATGGTCTCGTGGTTTACACAAAATTGCCCAATATAAATTGACCAATATGCCCTTTTAATCAAAACATACATTTGTTATTGATAATGTGTAAACCATATACAAAATAAATAGACCAATATACCCTCTTAAACAAAACCACAAGACAAAATTGCACACATGGTCCTGTGGTTTACACAAAATTGCCCAATATAAATTGACTAATGCCCTTTTAAACAAAACCACAAACAAAATAAATTGGTCAAAATGTACATACCAAATATAATCACCATTGACAAATTCCTGCAAAACATGTCTTACATTGCTTACATTATAACCAAAAAAGACTACCACAAAGTATTGCCCAAAAGATTACATTGCTTAAACAAGATACTACCAAAAACCTTAAAACACTACCCAAACAATTACATTTCAATATACTGCTTAGAAACCAGCCAAACCATTACACTTACAAACCACCCAAACCATTACACTTCAATCTACTTCTTATAAACCAGAACAAACACGAACAACACCCAACTGCATAACAGGTAACACTTGAGTCTTGTGTTTTGTGACTTCACTTTGTTGATTGACCTCAGCAGCCCAGGTATAATAGCTTTTGAACGTTCACAAATTGGACCATCAAACCACCCAATAAATCGACATTTGGATCCCTTCAAAATTTAAGAATCAAAAGAAGATCGTAACATGTAATGGGAGATTTATACTGAAATCCAAAAAAAAAAATGCGTACCTCAGTAGGGCATCCCCAGAAGCGTCTACCTAGATTTTTATCAGTCCATGCTGTGCGAACTATGGTCATTTTACCACAAAAACAAAGCACCATTTTTTATTTTGATTTCTTGAAGAAATCGATCGGAGAGTTGAAGAATACCAAAATGAGAACGACGACAAAGAAGATGGATTGGGATTCGTTCTTATTACTCTCCTTTATTAATATAAAATAAAGGGCATAAATAGGGAATGACCAAAATACCCCTGATTTGACTAGTCAAACATAACTTAATAGAGGGAAACAAACGAAAGTTAACCCATTGGACCAAATATGCAAGAAAATGGAAACTTTGGACTTGTGGTGCTAGCCAAAACTTTTTTGGACCAAAGTGGTAATTTTATGTAAACCACAGGGACCATTTGTGCAGTTTTGTCTTATTATTATTATTATCTTTATCTTTATTTATCTTATCTTTATCTTTATCTTTACTATTATATAAAGCATTTCACATATTTTTTGAAATGTAAGAGGTATAACTCTTTTAGCATGTACACTCATATTAAGCTTGAATCTAAATGAACGCACACTATGGTATTACCTTGTACTTTTGGAAACTTAAAAGCCCTAATCTCCTCTGCACATACAAGATACGTCGTTACCACTAGGGATGAGATTTAGAACCGGAAAACCAGACCGGAACCGTTAGAACCGGAATATATAAAACCGGTTCTGGTTCCGGGTTTAAAAATTGGCTTTATCCGGGTTCCGGGTAATCCGGGTTTGGGTCCATCGGGTCCGGGTAAACCGGGTCTAAAAACCGGAACCGGTTTTTGGAACCGAAACTACTTTTAGAGTCGGAACCAGTTTTTTGTGAAACATTTAAAAGATGCATATCTCATTCGTTTCAACTCCGATTGACATACGGTTTTTTCCAACATGTAATTTAGAGTTTGTACATGATTTTAGACTGTAAATTTGTCATTTTTAGTTTTATATTCATTGACTTACAGTCCCCCAAAGTCGATATATCAAAGTTGGAAGTTTTTAATTTTTCAGTTTTTTTATATTCGGTGAAAGTTTTAAAACATGCATATCTAATTCGTTTGAAGTCGGATTGATGTGTGGTTTTTTCCAACTTGTAGTTTACAGTTTGTACATGATTTTTGACTATAATTTTGTCAGTTTTGGTTTAAAATTCAATGATTTACAGTCCTCCGAAGTCGGGATATCAAAACTGAAAATTTTCAACTTTTCAGCTATTTGTTTTTGTACTTTGTATTATGTGAAAATGTTAACACATGCATATCACATTCGTTTAAAGTCGGATTGACATGCGGTTTTTTGTAAAGTTTATTTTAGAGTTTGTACATGATTTTAGACTATATTTTGTTAATTTTTGTTTCATATTCAATGAGTTACGATCCCCTAAAGTCGGGATATCAATATGAAAATTTTCAAAATTCAACCCACTAAGTATTAAATAATTACCAAAAAATTCCGGTTTTTTCGGGTTTTCCGGTTCTAAACCCACTTTATTCGGTTCCAACCTACCCACTTTGATGTTTTCGGGTTTTCTGGTTCTAGACCCACTTTACCCGGAATCATACCCGGAACCGGTTCCTATATACCAGTCCGGGTTCCGGTTCTACAAAATCTCGTTAACCGGTTCCGGGTTTTCCGGGTCCGGGTTTGGACCCACTTTCATCCCTAGTTACCACCACTTGCATCCATCACCTCTCTCTCTCTCTCTCTCTCTCTCTCTCTCTCTCTCGCTCGCTCTCTCTACCCACACTACCATCGCACCAACAGTGAACTAGAATTCACTATCCAATCTCCACCACCCATCGTATCTGATCGTCGTCTCCATCATCTGCCTTCATACCAATTTTTCGGTAACAATTCCACATGATGATCCATCTCTCTCTCTCTCTCTATATATATATATATATACATATATATATATATATATATATATATATATATATATATATATCTTTACTATTATATAAAGCATTTAAGATATTTCATGAAATTTAAGAGGTATAACTCTTTTAACATCATGTACACTCATATTAAGCTTGAATCTAAATAAATGCACACTATGGTATTACCTTGTACATGTGGAAACTTGAAAGCCCTATCTCCTCTCCACACCCAAGATACGTCGTTACCACCACTTGCATCCATCACCCCTGTCTCACTGCCTCTCTCTCTCTCTCTCTCTATCTATCTATCTATCTATCTATATATCTATATATCTATCTATCTATCTATCTATCTATCTATCTATCTATCTATATATCTATCTATCTATCTATCTATCTATCTATCTATCTATCTATCTATCCATCCATTTATCTATCTATCTCTCTCTCTCTCTCTCTCTCTCTCTCTCTCTCTACGTACACTACCATCGCACCAGCAGTGAACCATAATTCACTCTCCAACCTCCACTACCCATCGTATCTTATCGTCGTCTCTATCATCTGCCTTCATACCAATTTTTCGGTAACAATTCAACATGATGATCCATTTCTCTCTCTCTCTCTCTCTATATATATATATATATATATATATATATATATATATATACACCCAAACTCACTCTCCATTCCTACCACCACTTAACGTAACAAACACCACCATCGTCGCTGCCCTTACTTCCTCCACCAACCAGTGCCCAAGGGTTGATGGTATCCCTACAACAGTTCTCACGGAAAAAGGTAATGCATTTCTTCTAAATGTGATTGTTTTGCCAAAAGTAAATTTTTATGAGTGTAAATGATTTTGATTGTTTCTTTGAAACTATTTTTCAGTCAAATCTGGGTGCCCGACCTACTCCTTTCGGTCCTCTCGAACGGATAATGACTAGCATATCAGGGTGCTGGTCTCCCCTTCGGTCCTTTCGACCGGATACTGACTAGCATATCTGGGTGCTGGTCTCCCATTCGGTCCTTTCGACCGGATACTAACTAGCATATCTGGGTGCTGGTATCCCCTTCGGTCCTTTCGACCGGATACTGGGGACTATTTTACCCCTACCACTACCACATAACACGTATCACATAATCTATTTAGCATGGCTGGGCATGACTGCCCCTGCGTCCCTATCAACCGGTAACCTGGGGACTATCTCCCCTACTATCGCTAGCACATAGCATCATATCGTACAAACACATAAACATAACACAGATAGTGGCAACCCTAGATGAATATCACAGAGACAATCATCTAATCATACAATTCCTACTAGTGGGCTGACATTGTGGCCTTAGACCCACCGCTACTGGAAGGTAACTCACCTCGAAGTAGCTGCTAAAAGTCTGCTTGCTGAGCGCCTGACTGCTGGACCGAAACTCCCCAGCTACAATTTCCATAAACACTAAGTCAGATTCTGATAACTAATCTTAGGGTAAAATGACTATTTACCCTATCTATCTATTTAGCACGTATCACATAATCTATTTAGCATGGCTGGGCATGACTGCCCCTGCGTCCCTATCAATCGGTAACCTGGGGACTATCTCCCCTACTATCGCTAGCACATAGCATCATATCGTACAAACACATAAACATAACACAGGTAGTGGCAACCCTAGATGAATATCACAGAGACAATCATCTAATCATAAATTCCTACTAGTGGGCCGACATTGTGGCCTTAGACCCACCGCTACCGGAAGGTAACTTACCTCGAAGTAGCTGCTGAAAGTATGCTTGCTGAGCGCCTGACTGCTGGACCGGAACTGTCCAGCTACAATTTCCATAAACACTAAGTCAGATTCTGATAACTAATCTTAGGGTAAAATGACTATCCCCCCCCCCCCCCCGGTCAAAGTCAACATCCTAGTCAAAGTCAACTTCCTGGTTGACCGGACTC